AATCTTATGTTGTTATTATCAATATTATTTTAATTTGGTTTTTCAGTGAGATATTATTTTAATTTGATTGCCTTATGTTATTAGAATAGGTTAAGTTTAATTGAACAAAGTTGACGTAAACTATTATTTTTAAAATTTTTCTTATTGAAAATATGACAACTTTAACGACTTCTTTGGCATTCATATGGACGGAGAGGGGCCCACTGACGTGTGACGTGACGTGTACCAACTAAAATTTAATATTAAACTTTTTTTTGTTTAATTTTTTTCTTATTATTATTCTTTTTTCGTTATTCCCCTACCTACGAAGCTATACTTTGTTAGTAGTTTTAAAAAAAGAAAATAATCAATTCTTTATCCTAAATTTAATCGGTCAATCAATTATTATTACAAAATTTCAATTTCATCAGATTAATTATCAAACGTGAATAATTATTATAATTTTTCATCAAAAATCGATGTACAATATTGACACTAGAAAAAATATATAAAATCCTATCAAGATTTTATATATATTTTTAAGATTAAATCTCATCAAGTTCGACTTAAGCTTAGCTTCTATCTCTTTATCATATAAATGCATTAGCAATTTTTGATTTTCAAATGAAAGTCTAACAAATTGTAAAAATTTATTTCATCGGTAAGAATGGAAATAAAGATTTTGTTTCATCACTATTCAATCAATAGATGTTGAGATCATATCATTCTATTTTTATTTAATAGAAAAAATAAAATAAAAACAAGAAACAAGAAATTTTACGCGTAAATATCATCCTACAAATAAGAAACATTTTAAAATCTATAATATGAACGACATTGATGTCTAACCACTCAAATTCGAGCTTCCATAATGTTTAATGTTTAGTGGGAAGGTTTGTTCTTAGCCACAAGAGCAAACGATAGCAGGTGGACGATACATCAAATCAAAATCAAACTCCAATAAATAAAAAATCACAATCAAAATCAAACTCCGTAGAAACATCCTTCCAAAACTGCCAATTAGTCCACAGTTGAGACCCCAATTCGCACATAAAACGGATTTTCGGACATCGATTCTCACTTCTCAGAGGAATTATATAATTTTTTCTTTCTACTTTATTATTTTTTATGTGAAGTGTCCACGTTTGCTGGAATTTTGGGGCTGAAAATGCCAAAAAATTGTGCAACTTTTTGAAATTTTATTTCGTGCTTCACCTAATGAGTCAATGTTTCAACGTCGACCCAAGACACCCATTAATGGCAGCGTTAGAATATAGTGACCTCTCTGAACTTTACCTTTCTATATGAATATTCGCCTCCAGAGAAAGAGAGAGAGAAATCAAATTGAAACCATCAAAACCAGGCTCGATTTCAAGGTTTGTCCATTGATTTTGATTCTTAAATCTTTTTCCTGTGAAGATTTCGCTTTCGCTTTCGATTTCGGCTTCTGGATTACTGGGGTTTCTCATGTGGGGTTTGATTTTACTGGGTTCAAGTTTGTCTCCTCTGAATCGATTCTTTTTTGGGTAACTTTCTTTTTTATGATCGCTTTTGCTAATTTAAGCTGGATTCTGTTTTTTGCGTTGTTCTGAACTTCTGTATCTTCTGTTTAAAAGAAGTTTGGGTAGTAATTGTTAATATTGAGTTTGTTGTGCACTAATTGTTCAATTTGTCAAGTTTGTTCATGAATAATGAAGGCATTGAAATTCTCTTGTGAAGTTCCTTTGGCTTATTCTTTTGATATTCCATTTCTCTCTCTTTATCTCTCTCATGCATGGAAATATTCAGTTTGAACTGAGAAAACCTTGAGAAAAAGCTCTGATTATGACAAGAAAATGGTGAATCTCTTGCTGTGGAAAATTACAGGTAGGGAGATTTCAGCAAAGAGATGGCTGAACGGAGGAAAGTACGGCCGGATTGTATTTATGGTTCTAATCCCTTTCATGAATGCTCTGAATATTGCATAAGAAAAACTGCTGAAAGCAAGGCAGAAAAGGATAGAAAGTCTAGAGGTAATAATTCTTAAATTTTGCCTGAATTTTGATTCTTGTGACTTTGCTAGATCGTTGACTACTACATAACCATTTTAGACTTATCTGTAATTTTTTATATTCTTCAAGCAACCCGTGTCGAACACGAAGTTTTTTTACAAAAAAAACAAATGATTACTTCACTCGTTACATGAAACTTTGTGATAATCTTTCTACTTCCATTCTTCTCTTTGCTTCCACCATGAGAACTCCTGAAGTGATAAAGAAAGCAAGTGCAGCTTCTAAGTACTTGAGGAAAAAGCTTGCACTAAAGCATCTAATCTCCATCAAGAATATCAAAAGTTATGTTTCAGCTACAGTACTCTAGCTAGGACGCATCTGATAAAAGGGAATGGGATTTGTCCCTTTTTGTTTGCTTATTTCTAGATCGAGAACTATTCTCTCTTTTTGTGTCTTTTCTCTCTCATGTTATAATGTCATTCACAAAGAACAAATGTGGAAGTTCTGAAATCTTAAGCGATTTTTATGCTAGTGAGAAACATGCGAAAAGATGTGGAATATTTAGGAGAATAATTCACTTTTGTTGCAAAGTTTAATAGAAACGCACCAATTAACCTTATATATATCACGAAAGAGCCAACTTGAGCCTACTTCAATTGATTAAGTCATCCCCACCCTTCGTTGTCCTCAAGAAACAAGCATGGTGATTATGGCCTAAAAAGAGGATCATCGTAAGATGGAGATTGGCATGGCGTTAACTTACCTTAAGCTGACTCTTCTCATCTTTATAATATGAAAACTTTGAGGTCAATTCAGGGATTTGGTGCAGGGGATCTTTTGCAAGCTAATCAAGCATGTATCAAGAAGTCTTTTCTTGGATAAGTTCTGACAACATGTTGTTGAACTCTGTTATTTCCAAGTTCTAAAAGATGACCTGTGAGGCTTTGTAGCTACGACATAATCGAAAGAATTTCTCCATGTGAGATGAATAATAAACTGAGGTTCAAGTCTTGCCTGATGACCACTTTTAGAAAGTTTTTGGCTATTGATGGTGTAGTGTGATGAGTGGTTAGTTTCTAATCTCAAAATAATAAGATGACTAGGATAATGGATTATGTATTATTTCTTGTGGATTAAAAGGCTTGCTATCTTTTGTTCTACTGTTGCAGTTTCCTCAAAATCAGCTGAGAATAAAGCAGGACTCACGTCGTCTCCCCTAACCTGAAAAAATAAAATAAGAAAATGATTTCTTAGACTCTAAAAGATTGCTAGTTCTAAGTGATCCTGATTTGTTGGCATGAATTTGGGATGACTTTCCAATGCATGATATATCTGAGAGACTGAGACCTCTAGTTGTCGATCTTTGGCAACGGTATTTGTCACTCAAAGATACTTCATTGCATCATACAAATGTTAGCAAGGTAAAATGTGAGATATATTGTCACTGATAGGGGAAACCACTATCAGCTTTTAGACTATGGTTGGTATGTGAAATTACAAAATTTGCGTACGTATAGAAGCATAGGCTCGGAAACAGCTTATATGAATAAAAATCCTTCATTCTCGTACCAGATATATGATGAAAATTTTGTGTTAAATTCTAGTAGTCAGCTGCTGCTATGATTGGTTTCAAATGTTTTACCTTTTAGTACGGTGCAACTTCTATGAAATATTACTTTTACTCTTCTTAAAATTTCATCTTTTGAAGGTGATTCTAGAGTTTGTATTTTCGAGAATGGTAGACTTAGTGGATATTCGATCGCTATTGAACCTAGATATTCGCTTGATTGATCAGTTTGTTTGACATGGAATGAAACCGCCAAGAGACTTCATTTCTTCTCTGTTAGATATGATTCTTTTGATGATCATCTTCTTGCTTATCTTTTTAAACTTTCCATGGTAGCAGGATCTTTTAGACTTGATATTTCCAAATCTTTTGGAAGGAAGAAGGGGTCTCGACCAAAGCCACCAAAAGAAGTTGATGGTCGACGCTACTCAAGCACGGTTTCTACCGAAGCTGGCTCACTTAACTCACGTGTCTCTCCTAAGAAACCTTTAGAATCAAGAAATGGTGGTCATATCTCCCCTGCCAAAAGATTTTATTCTGATGAAATTCATCCTGAAGATCCTACTCTTAGTGCTGAGCAACACGACTCGTCTCGAATTTCCTCATATGAAAGTCTCATAATGGTGCTCTTTTTTCCCTCCACCCATAATTGATAACAATTTTATGTTGTTACAAAATGTTGAACCTGCAATTGTCTTTTTTGACAGCCTGAATATCCAGAGGATGTTTTAAATAAGAGTGCAATGCGGATTCCCCCACCGACAACTATTAATAAGAACGGGGACGTGAACCATGAAACATTATTAAAGGAGGATCTTACACCTAACGGTGACAACACTAAAGAAGACTATCCAAAGGCATCCAGAGAATCTAGCTTTAGTTTGTCTGGCTTGGAGCAAACTCTAGTAGACAGCGACGAGGGAGAGATTGAGTCTGTAAATTCTGAACTGTGTGTTCCCGTGGGAAAATACAATGTAAAAGCCAGCTTTTCCCCCATCCTGACGTTGGTCTTTGATAAGTATGGAGATATCGCCGCTACCTGTAACTTGGAATCAGTTTCCATGCGCTCTTACTATCTAGAATGTGTGTGCTACGTGATTCAAGAGTTGCAATCCACTGAATTTCATCAGCTGACCAAGTCCAAAGTTAAAGAACTCCAAGCTATTCTCAAGGATGTCGAGTCCTCACAGATGGACGTTGGGTGGCTAAGAAGCCGCCTCAACGAAATTGCCCAAGCTGTTGAGCTGAGGAGTCAGAATCGGACCGTCGAAGCTGCAAAAGCAGACTGTGAGCATGATTTGGAATCAACAAAGAAAGAACTAGAGTCCCAAATGGAGGATTTGGCTAGAAAAGAAAAAGAACTCTCTGATGCAAAGTCACAAGTTGCAGAAACCCGAGCTCGGTTAAGTGAATTGGAGGTGAAATCATCTCAGCTGAAAGACATGATAACATCCCTCAACTCCAAGGTAGAAAATTTGAGATGCAAATCATTTTCTGATGATCTTTTATGATTAGGGAAAGAATTAGTAGTAAATTATATCATCACTCATAGATCATCTCATTCTGCCATTTAGTTATATAGATGTTTGTAATGCTAAATAACTTAAAGCTGTATCATGTTCACTTCGTGTTCAAGTGTAGGGTTTGAGATTTCTCCAACTTCCCATTTTTTTTAAAAGCTTAAGCTTCTGGGTTTTGTTTGTTTACCTCCATTTCTCTCTGTTGAATTGAAAAAATACCAGAAGCTGAGAAATTGCTTAGTAAAGGAAACCCTTTTTTTTCGCTCCCAAGGAGCAGTCCAATTGGCAAGGACTTGAGGTTTCTTGGTCATACTGACTTAAAGGTTTCTTGGTCATACTGGCTTAAAGGTCTCAAGTTCGAACTTTTTGATGAGTTTAATACAAAAAATCGTTGATGTCTCTCGAGTCCGGATCTTGGGACGGGTGAACCCCCGTTATAAATTTTCTTTTGGGGTAAAAAGGGAAACTCGTGAGTGGTGGGGCCATGGGACAACTGTGGTGCAGTGAGTTTGACCCATGAGAACCACTGTGTAGCTCTGCCTCTGTCTGTTCACTTTGAAGTGAAAATGACATCTCACTCCCTGCCTGCCATTAATTTGATGCCTCCACCAGAGACAGAGAATCAAAGATGAACACAGAGGCAATAAATTTGTTCATACTCATGTCTGCACCACTTGAATTATGTTAAGTCTTTAGTCTTGTATTTCAAGTTTTTTCAGTAGAAATTGAATCATTGGTTCTGTAATTTCACAAAAGAAGAAAGGTTTTGAAAGTATGGTTCCATATGATTTCTTGTTACTATTGGAAAAAACAAACTGTCCCTTTACTTTTTTTTTTCTTTGCATTTCATTTGAAGTTGAGAGTCACCTTGCTTTAAACCAATGTATACTTGAGCTTTAACTGTGATTATTATTACCTACTTTAACTCATAATATGTCTCTTGAAATGTGATTGTTTATACTTAGTTATTGGCACTCGACTCGGAGTTTTAGCGAGTTTGATTTGTTAAGTTTGAAGTCTTTTTTTAATACAACATGTGACGGTAGAGGTTTGAACACACGCTATTTGAACGATGCTCAATTTGGTTATTAAATTTGAAGTTGGATAGTCTAAGTTTGTAGTAGCATAGTTTGGCCCCTTAAACTTTTTGTGTCTATTGAGACCTGTGCATCAAAAAGTTTCTAATAGATCTATGGACTTGCATCCTCTCGATCAAATTTGGTCCCAATATTTAAAAAATTTTAAATAGGTTATTGAACTTTTAATTTAGTATTTGATAGCTCTCTATTCTTAACTACAATAATTTAACATTTAGGTATCACAATGAATTTATTTTGAGTTGTTAAAATATTTGATGCTATAAAAATTAAATTATGGGCTATAAGTTCAAAAATTAAGAGAATGTTTGGTGGGTGATTTGAAACATCAACCTTAAAACAAGAGATTCAATAGTAATATATTTATAAATTAATAGTCACCAACTAAATACTTAGTTTAATTTAAAATATTATTAAGAAATTTCTTTAACTTAAATGTTTTAAATTTCGGATAACTATTATTTTACCATATTGTCTAATTTATAATATAATTATGTGTTACATATTTTAATTTTAACAAAATTAAATGAGTTTATAACATGAAATAAAATAATATATTCATCCAAGTTTTTATTTATTTTTAATATGTAGTTTTGCATTTTAAAGTTTCAAAAATAAATTTTAGGGAAAAATACATTTTTGATCCTAAGGATTGAGATAGGTGTTTGTCCATGAGGTTTAGTGGCTTTTCATCCTTCTTCTCTTCCTCTCTCTTTCTTTTTCTCTTTCTCTCTCATCTCCGACAATCGCTGACCATTTTGATCTTTATTCATCGCCTTTGATGGCGAGCGGATGAACAAAAAATGTTATTAGAAAAATTAAATTCTCTTGTACCAATAGTTTCTGATAATAATTTTTTCCTTGTTTTAGAGAAACAAAAAAAAATTATCAATAACCCTCACGTTATGTATTGGACCTAAAAAGGGAAATTGGTCGGCAGTTGTTAGTCGGAGATGGGAGAGAAGAGAAAAAGACCATTTAGAACTATTTTTCAAAATTTAARGACAAAAAATGTCTATTTTAAAACTTAAAAGACTACATAGACACCTATATCGAACTTCAGAGACCAAAAATGTTCATTTCGAAACTTGAGGACCAAATAGATATCTAGACCAAAAATACATTTTTCCCTAAATTTTAATATAGTGGAATGTAAATCTAAATTAAAATAATAAATATAGATTATAGATCGTGTGTTACCATATGGGTTAAATTAAACCTAACTGGCGGTAGTAGTTATATTAGTTTGGTTTTTCGGGGGAAGGTTAAAAGGCAAAATTACCCAACCAGAACGCGACAACGGAACTATCTTGTCCTCAAATGAACAGTGGCTATTTCGGAAATTTCGTCGCTTTTCGGGGGTGTCAAAAACGTAAATTTGCTGTGGGTGGGCCCCACCCATGTGCTACCGTGACATGTAAACATAGGGTGGGCCCCACTTATAAGACCATATTTCTCTCTCATTTATCTGTGGCGTTGGTTTGGACTTTAGTCCAAGAATGGCCCAACCACTTTTCCACTTCTTTTCCACAAAGCTGCCCCTCTCCTCTCTCACTGCACCCACGTACTTTCTACCCCCACCTTCCCTTTTTACCCTCGCGTTTCCACGTGGCAGCTCCTCATTGGAAATAGCCCCCTCCTTTCGCTCATCATAATGAAGGCATCCTAAGCCATTTTTCAAAATATTAAAAAAAAAAAAAAAAACTCATACTTAAGACTAGATATCATCCATAAATTGAACTCATTATTTATACATGTAAAATTTGTACCTTCTCATACATTTCAAAATTTAACAAGTGTGTATGATTGCTACGAAATTTAAAAATTATTCAAATTTCGTAATAATTATTCGTGGAAAATAGTTAGATCTTAATTGAAAATTTTGCAAACTCGATAACTTTTATAAAAAGTTTTTATTTTTGTATTTTTCTTTTATAATTCTCAAATATTTTATATTGGTAAAAACAAGATTGTTCCTCAAGTATTTTCGGTCATTCGACTCTCTAAATCCTAAGTTATGCTTGAATTGATATATAAAAATAAAATTATCACCAAACTCTTAAAATTGAGAAATAACCTTTCTAGACAGACTCAAGTTTATGAAAGACTAAGCTAATTAACATTTCTAATGATGACAATTACAAGCATATAAATTTGAAGAAGAGAGTGTTAAGTCAGAAAATTGACACTAATCTCATGAACAAAGAGAGAACATAATATTACACATCCAAAAAAAGAAAGAAAAAAAAAACTAACATAACAACAAAAGATTACAAATAAATAAATAGCACAACGTTCAAATGTCATAGTCCATCATCTTCGTCATCTTCCTCTCGTAATCTCTTTCACTACACACAACCAAACAAATAATAATGAATTTAAAAACCATGCTGCAGATTTCTCTCTTTTTTCTTGTTTCATTAGTTGGTGGGGTTGCTGCGGAATGATCCCAACGCCTTAATGGCGGCTGCTCGGAGAATGTATTGGTGGTACACCGCCGCCGCCAGTGCTCCGACGAACGGACCCACCCAGAAAATCCACTGCATAAAAAAAAGAGTTTATAACAAATTTCGAATCGGAAAATATTAAATTACATTTCTAGCGAAAACGACGACGTACGTGGTCGTTCCAGGGCTTCTCCTGGTTGTAGATGACGGCGGCGCCGAAGCTTCTGGCCGGGTTGATGCCGGTGCCGGTGATGGGGATGGTGGCCAAATGAACCATGAAAACCGCGAAACCAATGGGCAACGGAGCCAACACCTGTAGTAATAATAAAAAACTTTGAAGTTTAGAAACGAAATTTTGAAATGGAAGAAGGATTTTGAGGAGAAGAAACTTACAGGGATATGGGAGTCACGGGCGCTTCTCTTGGGATCAGTGGCGGAGAAAACGGTGTAAACAAGAACAAAGGTTCCGATGATTTCAGCGCCGAGAGCGGTGCCCTTGTTGTAGCCGGAACTTACTGAGTTGGCTCCGCCGCCGTGGTTGTTGTAGTCGTGCTTCATGAAGGCCTTGACCAAACCAACGCCGACGATGGCTCCGGCGCACTGCGCCAACATGTACCCCACGGCTCGGAATAGCGACACTTTCCTTGCCAGAAACAGCCCGAACGTCACCGCCGGGTTAATATGACCACCTACAAAATAAAAAAAAAAATCAGGGGAAAAAAGTGGCCGGAAAAGTTAGGTAGGGCGGTTGAGAGTGAGCTCGGAGTACCGGAAATGCCGGCGGTGCAGTAGACGAGGACGAAGATCATGCCGCCGAAGGCCCAGGCGATGCCGAGAATTCCGACACCGTCGCAAACGTTGGTCTGTTTGTTGTTGCCGATGACGGTGGCGATGGTGACGTAGAGGAAGAGGAGAGTGGCGATGAACTCGGCGATTAGGGCTCTGTAGAAGGACCAGAGGGTGAGCTCCGCCACGTCGATGAGCGGCGCCGGCGGCGGGTCCACGTAGTCCTTGCCCCGCCCGGCCTCTCCCTCCTCCCTCACCTCCTTCGACATTCTTTTTCCTTTGATTTGATTTTCTCTCTCTAAGCTCTCTTTCTCTCTCTAAGCTCAGTCTCTGAACGCTCTCTTCACGGTTTGCCCTAGCGAGGTGGGAGATGATGGGGAAGGGTTGCTTTTTATGGTTAAGGCCCAGGGGTAGTTTTGGAATTTTGCTTATATGAAAAGTGGAGTGCAGAGTTAACAAAATTATCATTTTCAATTAAACTCTGCTGTTTTCGTATTATTGGCCCTTATTTCTTTATATTTTTGTTCAGGATATTTTATAATAATCTCAAACAACTTAACTCAAATTTGATTTAAATTATCACCATGTTGTTAAACGACGAAGAAAAAAATAGCTTTTAGAAATGATAAATTTTAAAATAAAAACGAATATTTGCCGAATTTTAAATGCTTACCTGAATAAAATTCGAAAATTTGTTGATAGTGTTACTGTAGTGCTATATTAGGAAAAATATTATTTTTTTCTTTTTTTAATGGTGAGTGTTACTTCAACTAATTTTATAGGACAATCGTTTGAACTTACTAGATTTGGTTCACAATAAAACACATATGAAATTTACTAATGGTTCGGTCCAATTATTTTACATCTTGTTTATACCTATGTGTATACAGTGCTGCTTCTATAAAGAATAGCATTCTCATTAATTTTCAGCCATCAGATAGGGTTTGTTTGGGATTTATTTTCGACAGTGTTGTTATTTTCTCGTTATGTTGCCCAAGACATGAGCTATTGTTCTTATGTTATTTATTTAACCAACATCGTAAGTTACAATGACATGTGGGTCAATGATAGTTGAGAAACGAATCGATTAATGTTGAGAAACGATTCATTCAATAACCAATATCGTAAGCTACAATAATGCACTTGAGTTAAAGTCAGTTGTAAAACCGACACCATATATATATGATGTCAGTTGAAAACTTACATTAAAGATCAATTTTACAGTAGCATTTGCTAGAATTTGTTTTCTTTTTTGTTATCGTTAAAATCGGTTTTTTTTTTTAAGTAATGAGCTTAAACAATACACAAAAACATTGAAATCGTAGAGAGAGAGAGAAAGTAGGGGTAGGGCCATGGGGAAAAAGGGCGTACAGCGAGACCATGTGAGGGTAATGATATTAGCGGCACAAGGCGCAGCCTGGCATCCAACTCTTCTCTCTCTATAACGGTTATATTGTCTTTTTTCAGCTCTTTTTCTCAACTCTGCATTCTTATTTTCCATTCTCTTTTGTCTCTCTCTCTTTTTCTTTTATCACACCTTTTTTTAGTACAACTCATTAGAAATACATCGGTTTGAAACTTCAACCTCGAGAAAAGAGAAAATGCATAGATATCAATGAGCTATGTTTATGTTGGTTTGTTAAAACTTTTCGATTAAAATACTTTTTTGGTTCATGTACTTTGTTCATTTTGGTCTCTATACTTTGAAAATGTTTATTTTAGTCCCTGCACCTTTAAAAATGGTTTCATTTTGATCGTTGTTGTTAATCCACTGTTTTAGATTGATGATGTGGTATTTTTCTTAGGATGACTAAGAGCCTACGTGGCAAATTTAATTACCAAATAAGTGAGTTGGTTTGCTGGCAAAACGGTGTGAAGAACAATAGAATCGAGGACGCTGTAAGATCGAGAAACACGTGGAATAGAAAGATTAAATTATATCGCAAAAGACCGTAGAACGCAATATAAACGACCTAATCCGACCTACTTATTTGGTAATTAAATGTGTCAAAGAAAAATGTCACATCATCAACCCGTTACTTTTTAAACGGTGGATTAACATGGACTAAAATGAACCATTTTTAAAGGTACAGTGACTAAAATGAACATTTTCAAAACACAGGCACCAAAATGAACTAAAGTCGAAAGTATAGGGAGCAAAAAGTATTTTAATCCAATATTTTTTAGTGCAATATATATATAGAGAGAGGTATAAATTATTCACTAAGAATAAAATGTAGGTTTAAAGAAGTTAATATTATTATATGTATGTATATATGAAATGTTATCTGAATCCTGTCTCATAAATACTTTAGTTTATAATTTGAAGTACAAAATGGCCAGAATAATATATTAAAAAGAACTTTCGAAAATGTGAAATTTATAATTTAATTTTTAGAAAGCTCCAAGTGGAGTGAAGCTGAGACAAATATGCTCCCCCGTTATACAGAGAAGCAATGATGGTATAATTTCTGACACCAAAATAAATTACAATTTTCCTTTTGTTGATAATATAATTTAGAAAATTTTCAATGCACTTAATTATTACTACACACTATTTTCAATTGGTCGTGGACCCTATCATCATTATAAAATAATCATAATTGTTATTATAATAAAAAGGAAGAATTCAACTTTATATTGGAATTCTGCTTAGTTTATTTATTTATTTGTTAGCCAAAATAATTCTATTTGTCTTTTGCGTGCTGATGTATGGGGAAGAGAGATAATCAAGTGTAGTAGGTTAATTTATTAGACCAACAAAGATTTTTCTCAAATCCTTTTTTGTTTTGTTTTGTTTATTTTTTCCTTTTTAGCTGTAAAATCCCTTTTAAATTAAAAATTATCAATTATGTGTTACTATGTGTTTTAAATAAAATTGCTTTTAATGTTTATTAATTTTAAAAGATAGAAATGTGAAATATTAGAGACTCTAGGTTAATATTGTAAATATTTTTTATTTTCACTTTTTTATATTTTAGCAAATTTTTTAGGTGGGTAGAAATTCACCAAATACTCATATATAATTTTTGGTTTAAATTTTGTTTTAGTTTGTAAACTTTAAGTTTATTCTATTTTAATTATTGAAACAAACGAAAAAACTCATGGTCCTTATATTTATTTTACAATTTATAAATGTAGAATATGGTTTCAAGTTATATATATTATGTCATGGGTTCGAATTCCACCCTTACACGATGTTGTATTAAAAAATTATATCTATTATATTGATGCAAAAATTTGGCTTAGTGAGATTTCGCCAAATTCGCATCAATCTTCTATAATAAAAGGGATCGACGAGACCTGCAAACAGAAGAACACTAAATACCGGTGCGGCTCTCGCCACACAGACTTTGATGCTTAAGTTAGAATCGGAGTAGTCGATTAGGTAGAATGAAGTGTTTTTGCATGGCAAAGAGTAGAGATTTTTAGCCTACCTTCCTCATTTCATTATAATTATTTACCTAATAAAAGTAAAATGCTAAGGCCATTAGGATATATTCTCCTTTCGAATATAGGATGTAATGGTAGAAAATAAAGATTTTCTCATCCATAACATATTACATATTCACACGACATGTATAAGGTGAGAATATATTAAATGGCAAAGTAAAAAAAAATGACCATAATGATAATTTTAAAAAGTTTGATTCATTTATATTTTATTTATTTATTTGGGTTGATATGTTTTTTGTTTTTGTTTTTTAAATTGAATAATTACGAAACCATGAAGACGATAATAAAGTGACTTTCTTTTCTCGAACTCTAACGGGCAAAAGAGATGGTTGGAAGGCTGGCATTTATTTGATTGGTTTGTCATTATTTAACAGAATAAAGAATTAATTTAATGATTTTATATCCAAAAAAGAAAAGGGAAAAGAATGGGTGGGATGATAAGTATGGTGGATGATACTGCTTCAACATTGATTTACTTATAAAAAATAAAAGGAAACTGATTTTCTGATTATCCAATCAGCCGCCTCTGAACGTGGATGATAAGGCCGTCCGACAATTTCATTGGTACTACACACACATATCTGTCGCAATCCCTACCTTTACAACCAATGTTTCTCTTGCACATTATTTCTTTTGGTCAAAAAAAAAAATATAATAATAATAATAATAAGACATGTTTTTTCTCTGATTGGATACAACATATAAAAGTGGGGATTCGAAGTCACAATCTCGAACTCAAAACCTCTTAGTAAAGATATATGTTAATTACCGTTGAATTATGCTCGTTTTGACAAGTTTAACGTGTTTTTAATTAGCCGAAAGATTGTTTTTAAAAAGAAAAAAAAAGTGGTTTGTAATTTAATTCTAAATAGAGGATAAATCTTGCATGGATTAAACATTCTAGATAACTATCTTAGAAAACGTCTATAAGATATATGATTTTGTGTCTTGTTACGTAAGATTATCCAAATTATTTATCTAGATGATGATTTATATGATAGATTTTTCTTTTTGTCAATTATACTTTGGAAGGATATTAATTTTGAAGTTATTAAAAATTTAATAATAAATTAAAAATATGCCCGAGAATAATTCAAAAGTTATATATCAAACACCAAGGTTCGAATCCACACTTCACATTTATTGTACTAAAAAAATAATAAATTAAAAGTAACAAAAACCTCCCATCTATCATACATTCTATATATACATGATTGATTTATGGCATGTCTTTCTCATTTTTGTTTTAGCGCTACATATTTTTTTTTATATAATTTTTATACGTCAAGATCATATTAATTTTGGCAAGTTGTATCAAATTTTACTCAAATTTTCAATTTTATCTATTTAGAACTTAGACTTAGATAAGTGTTGCAATTTTTTCTAATGGTTTGCCTTTTTGCATAAAATTAAGTTTGATCAATACAAATAAAAAAAAGAAAAATCAATCAATGACCATATAATAACTCTATCAAAACTCATAAATTTCAACAACAACAAAAAAAAGAAATAAACTATAATATCGGTTTTCTCTTAAATTCTATCCATTTTAGTAAGCATATGTTTATTCATTCAACACACAAGTAAATACTTTTTTTTTTCTTGTGAATGATTTTTCATAAAAGGTAAAATTTTTTCAAATTTAAGATAAAAATTGTAAAAGAAAATTAAAATAAAAGGTATAACCCAATGAAATGGAAAGCTTAAAAATTAACACAAATCGCCAAATTCAGGAAGAAATTGATTTTTTCACCGGGAGATGGACAGTGAAAAAGGGAACAACAGATTAGGTGGATTTCCAGCTGTCAAGAACACGTTGAGGGTGGGACCCACAGGAGGAAAAATAAGGTCAGCCACGTCATCTTAATTTTTTGAAACCTTTTGCACGTCAATTCATTT